ATACACTTAGAGGCTAAAACATCCTAGCCATTATAGCAGGAGCACATTGTGGGTCAAAGGTTTGAGTAGGTGGAGACAATGATCCTTTAGTAGCGGGGGATGCCCCCTTAAGGAAGGGCCATAATTATTTAATCCCCATCACCTATGACAGGTTCTGTGGTGGGTTTGTCTGGGGCCAAAGAGGTCTGCAAAGCAGAAATGAGTCTTTTCCTTTCAAGAATTATCCTTTGTTACATTTTTGAGTATGTTGATAAAGTTATGGCCCTTTCTGTCTCTGTTGTCCTTGCCCCCCTGCCATTCGTGATGTTTCATGCCATTTTGCAAACTCAGAATAAGTGTGAAATGGGAGAGAGGCTCAAACTGACCAGTAAGAATATAGGCCAAATATTCCTAGAAAAAGCTTATTCATTAGAAGTTGTCTAATCTGTAGGAGTGATTCTGAAATCTTCAATAAAGAAAACGAAAACCTAATAGGTTATGACATTAAGTACGCGCATGGAACCAATGTAGGAAGTAACAAACAAGTAAGCAGTGACTGAAAATTATTAATGAAAATCAGACGCTGAGATTAAGAAAAACAGGAAGACAAGAAAATGTTCTTCAGAATACTCTTAAGGAAAACAGGAGTTACAAGACTTCGAGGACACAGTTGTAATGGGGTGACAAATGTTTAGCTTCAAGGACAATGATAGTACTTACAGACACAGAAAGCATTATGAAGGGACCAAAAAGTTTTCCAGCTGGTACTACAGAAATGTATTACAAGAAATAAAATCTTCACAACCATATATAAAATGAGGCAGACAGTTCTTGTTAGAGGGTTCTGACATAACGGATGGAGTCATCAAGAGCAGAAATAAGTGAAAAAGATAGTTTCAACATGAATAACAGGTAGTCAGTCAAATAACAGAAGAGCTAGAGAAACTATTAATGGAATAGATAGAAAAAAACTCCAGTTCAGAGGGCCCGCAAGGGGGTGCACCTGATGTGATTCTTGTTCATGATGAAGGAAAGCAGAAATATGTAGTCCTATGAATAAGAACACCTTTTCACTGGTCTAAAAACCCTGTACTACATTACTGACCATTGAATTACTGTTATCCTCCCTCTTCCTGGGAATTCATGGACCCCATTGGTTTCCAAAAGTCAGTTTCTGGGAATACTTCTCCAAGAACCAGGGAGGCAAAGAGACTGTTAAAACACTATAATCACCTATTATCTACAATAATTAATACTCTTGCCTCTAAATGTCATCTCATTGTCCTTTCAAATCCTTTGTGGATTTTAAGTAACCAAGACAAAAGACCAGATTCATGATCACAAATCCTCCAAATTTTGCCTCTGTAAAAGGTGTACAGTCAGTGAAACAAAAAGTGTGTTATTTCTGTAATAAGGAAAAAGCTTACACTTCGATATACAAAGGAATCCAGTTATAAAAATAATGTAAAGATGACATCAAAAAATGGCATCCTTAAAATAAGGCTAGCTAAAAATCAAAATGAAGTATATAGGGATGAAAGCAACTACATACCTTAACTAGGCATACCACAGTTCTTTCCTTGTAAACCCTAAATCTGTTTAAATAGGACTTCAACAGTTCGTTCTCCAAAGTGAATGTATTCTATTATTTTTCTTTGTTGTACTCTAGAATGTGTGCTTATGTGATAGACACTGTGAAAAGTCTTATATTTGTCTAGATGAGAGAAGTGTACAAATGGCATTCTGACAGTGGTCTTTGACTCTGAGACAGGGCTTCTGTACCTGAAAATGCAGGCAAGATGTGCAACTGCTCTCATAAGTACAGCATGTAAAGCAGTAAAATCAACAGAATATTCATAACTAATGAATACAGCAACACACCATAGTGCCAAGGCATATTTTAAATTAGCAAAACCACCAAATATCAGCACATTGTAATTGATTGTTTTTCAACAGTCCAAATCTGCTTTAGTCTGTTTTAAAGGAAGGAAATTTAAAGTGGTCCAAAGACTGGGATTTGCTATATTCAATTCTAGACCAAAAAGTATGTTTAAAAAAATACTGCTACACCAAGAACACTTTAAAAGTTTAATATTCCTGGAAAGATTGGAATCTCCATGTTCCTTCATATGTAGCTTTTGTATGTACCTTTGGCTGAGGACAAGATCATTAGCTCTTTTAAAATAAGCAAAACAAAAAGTTACTTACCATATTTTTGCTTCTCCTCATACACTAATAGAAGTATCTGATTATTTAATCTACAGACTAAGATCTACTTCTTCCATTCCATCCATTGCAGCAACAAAGAATGGAATTACTGAGGATGAAGGCTATAGCTTTGAGTTTGTCATTTTTCTCCGATTTGTAGCTGGAGGGAAACCATGTTGGCTACTCCCATCTCTGCTCCCATCATTTCTATAAATACGTTTACATAGCTTCGGGTGGATTACCTCTCTTTGCCATCAGGTAGAAGAATCAGCCCTCATCCCCAACCTCAGTAGTTAACAACGGTTACCTATTTATTTCCAAATATATGCATTACTAAGAAATTTGGATTAACATTTTAAATCAAATTCAGCTTTGGGAAGGATTTTTGAATAGCCACTATACAATGATTTCCAGTATGGCTCAAGCTTAGTTAACGGTTTACAGCACTTTATAGCATTGTTGAATCACCTCGTCTGCTAAATCAGTTGTCAGAAAAATATGGGCCAGCATGGTAGAATGTATTAGACCAATACATTGTCTCCATTTTATTATGAAGCTGCTGAGGAAGCTGTGATATACAGCACTGTCATTACAGATCTATTGTTAGAGGGGTTCCACAGTGTTTTGTGCACTGCCATTAATTTATAGCAGTAAACAATATGTAGCTCTCCGACTGCAGCAAAGCAGAATCTTTTAATGAGGTGGATGTTATTACCACAATAAATCAGTGCATTCGTGTAATGTATAATTCAATGTGTGTATTCCCACTGTAACTTCTCTGAGTAAGCTGATAGTGTATCATTGTCAGTGCACAGCTCTGTGGTTCGTTGTTTTTTTTTGTTTTGTTTTGTTTTTTTCCTCCTAAGCTTTCTGTCGTTTGGGGACTTTTTTTTTTTATTTATTTGCTTGAAAATAAATGTGGCATGTCTTGATGGTTGTCCTGTTGCGGGCTTAAGAAACCAACTGTAACAATAATAGTGAGAATCAATACTGTGGATTTTAGCTGTATGGATCTCTGCATGATACCATTTTTTCAAAAGAGAATGAAATCAATCCTAATTGGTTTTAGCTTTATATTCAAGGAATGTAATTCTATAACTATTGATTTGGGGTATACTCATTTGCAGGGTAATAAAAATAGGAGCAAATTAAGTGAATACTTAAAATGCTACAGTACTATACAGATACAGCACTGATTCTATTTTTAATTCATACAGGTTTTTTTACAAATGATCTTATTTCTCCTTTTTTCCCCTCCAGCATAGCTAAGTCTTTAGGGAAAATCTGTACAGATGGAGATTCCAAAATGGTTCTGTAACAAAAAAGATAGTTCTTGGAGTCAGTTTCATTCTTCCCTGGAACACATTTGCTAAATCAGATAAAATCCTATTCTACCGCAATCACTCCTTTAAAAGGGTTACATTTCAAATTAGTGAACTGCAAAAATGGTAATCAACCTAAGATGTTTTCTTTATCCAATTGCAAAGTGAAAACTGCTTTAAGTAAGATTAGATCTTAAATCCTTGTTTGATCTGTTATCTAGAAGATACACTATAGCAACTGCAAGTAGTTTATCAGATGCCATCTGCAAGTAAACATACTTTGATAGTAGTAATCAGATAATACAAATATTTCCAAAATTATAAATACAGCAATGGACATTATTTTTTTACTTAGATTCTAAATTATTTTTTACATATGACCCAAGGATACCTCTGTTTTCATTGACTCAGAGCTGGATTATTGATTGTCACTTTGGCTTAGAAGCTTTACCTTGAATGTTTGTCTCATCTTGTATATATTGTTAAGTATATCTGTTACATTTATTTTAGTAAGATGATAAATGTGAAAATATTTTTTCTGCAGGTGTATTCTTTAGTTATAACCAGGCACTTCTATAATCTGTTTATATTTGCATCATTTAATTTAATGGTATAAGAAAACACTATTCTATATCAATCTCTGTACGTATTATAGAACTGTATCAAATATTGCCCATATGTACCAAAATATTTCAGACCTCTTAAAGTATTATACATATGAAACTATTAAAAGACCACCGAATCCTGATATAGGAATAATCCTATTGAAAAAACACATGCAATGTATACCAAAACTTTGTATTTTGCATTAATTAAATCCCAGTTTAGCAATGTTTATAAAAATGTGGTAAGTCTTTTTGGTAATTTTGCATATTTAATTAACTCAGTTTGATTTTTGGTATCAATACTTTCTGATATAATTTGTCTGATTCACTAATTTCTCTCATTAATTCTTTCTCATTTTCCTGCATTACATGCAGACATATCTTATTCTTTAGGTATAATTTCTCTTGGGATTGGTTATCATAAAAAAAAAGAAAAAAACCCAGCACCAACAGCAAGAAACCAAACAAAAAAATCAAACACTAGTACTAATATCAACATTCCAGCCACACTGTTGACATTCCCTTTCACTGTTGGTCAGCCTGACATCAAGGTCCAAACCCATGTTTTTAACTGTTGCTTACAACTCATTCAATAGTCTACAAAACATCACACAGCTAGGACCCACTTCATGTAATACTGTCTGCTGTGAAATGCTTCTTAGTGATGATCAGTGTTCAATCGAAATTAGACTGTACTGGTGGAACGTAACAGCTTCTTCCATCACCTGTGTGTATATGTTATCCAAGTTTGAGATCCACATCTGTCTTCACCCACATACCAACTCTGTCTGCTTTTGCAAGAAAAAAAACAACCTAGACAACATATTTGCATGCATGCTAATAATTCTGTTTGCAAAAACACTGAAAACTGGTTATGATTATGATGTGGTGATTGTCTCCTTTGTTTTAGCCTATTGGTGCTCTAAACCCAAAGAGAGCAGCATTCTTCGCAGAGCGATATGAATCATGGGAAGATGATCAGGTTCCAAAGTTTCACTATGGCACTCATTACTCAACTGCAAGTTTTGCACTCACTTGGTTGTTGAGAATTGTAAGTACAGTCCTTAAAAATACATTTACTTTTAAATAATAATGAAAGCCACAAATAATCAGAAACCATGAGTAAATTAAAACCCAACAGAATATAAGGCAATTGAGATTTTGAAGTAATTGATTATCAGCAACTTGTTTCAGTTTCCAAGGATAAAATCTGTTCCAAACTCTGAACATCGTGTTTTAATTTTTATGGGGTAGCCTTCTCAAATCAATATAAAAAGCTCTTTTCCCTTTAAAATAGGCTTTTCAAGTAGACCTCATTGTATTACATTAAATAGGGTTAACTTCTCTTCCTCACATGATTTTTTTCATTGTGGTGTACTCTGAAAAATTGTAAATTCTTATGAATGTATTTAATTTTCATCCCTAAAAGTTAAAATAAGATGTTTTAAGATGCTCCTAAGATTGTACATTGTCATATTTGTTTTAAATGATGTTGCAATATATATGTAGGTAATATTGTGGATGCAACGTATTGATAATATATTGGTTAAACAGTGCATGTTTCTGTAAAATTGAAAGGTGATTTATCTTCTAGAAAGTAATTTCTTTGGGAAAGCATTAGCAGCACATCATTAATTAAAGCTTGTTAGAATGGTACAAGCATACATAAATCCTTGAAGTAATTTATAGTGCTTAGCTAATTTCAAGCAATTACCCACTAATATGTGCTTAAGTGTTCTTTAACTAAGAGGAGGCTTTTAAATCTTTCAAACATTTTTCTTTTCTAAATCATAAATTACATATTAAGCCATAACAATGGTAAAGTTACATTAAGTATTAAAATATTTATTTGCATTAATAGATAAACTTGAAGAAAAAAAATCTTAGCTGATTAAGCCATGCAATTATTTAAATAAACAAACAAAAAACCCACACAAACCCTTAGATATAAAATTTATTCAGCTTTTTCTTCTTAATGTGTTTAAAAGCAATTCATGTCACAACTGATCTGTAAATATTTCCCTTCCATTTTTACAAGCTTTTATTTGTCTTAATTTACAGTGAGCACAGCAGAGTAGAATTAAGGGTTACTCATACACAAAAACAGCTATGCCTGAATTATTCATCAGGTGGGTAGCAGAAATAGCCTGTCCCAATTAACCACTTATGCACCAGGAAATGAAGTAAGAGTAACCATAAACTTCAGACATGGCAATTGCCATTTTTATCACATTTCTTTCAAAAAGTATTATTTCATTTTGTTTTTCTTTCATAGGAGCCCTTTACAACATTTTTCCTACATGTACAAGGCGGGAAGTTTGACCATGCAGATAGGACTTTTTCATCAATTTCAAGAGCATGGCGCAACAGCCAGCGTGACACGTCTGATATAAAGGTAAAATACTGTTTTTAGCTTTTGTGAAAGCTGTTAACACATACTGCACTGTATTATATATTATAAGAGCAGACTTGAAGAAGAGCTCAGTATAGCCCACAAGCTTGTGTCTCTCACCAACAGAAGTTGGTCCAATAAAATAAATTACCTCACCCACCTCGTCTCTCTGATCTCCTGGGACCACCACAGCTACAACAACCCTGCAAACATTTTTTTTTTTTAATGGGCAAGGCTGGTAGTACCACTTACTAAGTTGCCTCACACTTCCCATTATTAGTCTTTGTTTTCTGTTCCTTATAACTTTGCCAAACTTTAATCCTTTGGGCTGAAATTTTCCATGCTGGGTGTCTGCCTCTGGTTGAATTTTTTTTTTTTTTTTTTTTTTTTTTTTTTTTTTTTTTTTTTT